TTTTCCTTTATTTGGTCTAAGTAGCTGAGCTTGGGATGACCTCTTCCCCTCGATCTTTCCCTCCAAAATGATCTTAAGGAAGATGTCGGGTTGTATAAAATCATTTTCCTAGCTCTACACTCTTATAGTATTCAGGATCGTTCTTTTCTCGTTTAAAATAAAGTTTATTGGTTGTAAAAAAATTGAGAGAATCTTTTTTAGTAGAAGTTCCTAGTGGGTCGGTTCGTCTAGGGAAGTACCCTTACCTAGTTCTGCCGCCTTGCAGTAATGTGAGCATTACTGCATTCCGGTTTGAAGGATACTGAGCTGGTGAAATCACAAGGACATTGGACTTGTCAACTTATGTCTCAAGGGAATGGGCGTAATGGCAGTGCCCCTGAGATCTCTGCGGCTTAAAGCTCTGAGCGGCACTGCAACTGTTATTAACATGCGTGTCCCTTACCACCAGATTTACGACTTGTTAGTCATAAAAATGTTCTCTTCTTTCAGGCTTCCTATTGCCAGTCAGCTGGGGTAGACTCCCTTCTCACTCTCCCTGAGCTTTATTTCAAGCCGTCTTCAGTGACTGAGTTGGTGAACTACGTAGAGATCGTAGCCAAGGCTGCACCGAAATTACCTGTGCTGTACTATCATATTCCTAGTATGACCAAAGTTGAAAGTAAGTAGCTCGCGTTATCTCGTTACATATTACTAGTTATACCCCTGTTGTAGTCTCAGGTTGGGGCTCTACATACCCAACCTTGAATCTTAAATCTTATGGTGTTCGAAGAAGGCAGACTTTTGAGTTGTGTCGTACAAACGGATTTTTAATAAAATACAAATTCAGTAATAGTGAAGCACCATACCTATGACTAGCAATATAAGCTATACGCCTATCCATAACAGCTGCAGCGCCACTCGTCTCTAAGTGTTCCAATAGTAACCATACTATATTAGTCTTGTAAAACGGCTAGATTGTAATTAGTTATAAGGTTTTGTTTTGCTTTATAACAAATTTAAAAAAATTCGTTTATTTCAGTCAATATGCCGTCGTTCGTAGCAGTGGCCACAGATCGTATTCCAAATTTCAAAGGCATCAAGTTCACATCCAACGACCTTAGCGAAGGGGCACAAGTATTCAGAACGCTCAAGGATGACCAGGAAATATTCCTTGGCGCTGATACGGTAAAGTTAGTCTAGAGATAGACTTGTGAAATTACATGCGTGTAGCTTGGCTTGCTCGTGACAAGGAAAAACATGCAGCAAAATCATTGAAACGCTTGTAACGTGTTGTAGGTAACTTGTCCGTGCATTAAATTTAGTAGCAGTAGAGCTTCTTGTGAAAGAGTTCGTCCAGGGAAGTACTGCCATCTTATCTATTTCTGCCGCCAAGCAGTAATGTCAGCATTACTGTGTTCCGGTTTGGAAGGGTAGGAAGAGGGAAGGGTAAAAATGCTGGTGAAATTATAGGCACATGGGACTTGTCAACTTATGTCTCAGGGTGACGGGCGCAGTGGCGCACTGCCCCTGCGCCCGTCACCCTGAGATTAGATTAGGTTTTTCGATTTAAGGAGCTGAGTGGCACTACAGCTGTAATGGACAGGCGTGTAGCTTACCTACAGGTGCCCGACTTGTTCGTCCCATCACTTGACAATAATATTTAAAAAAATTCCATTGCGGTTTTTTTGCGGCTATATTATTATTGATATAATTTTAGTTTATGCAATTGCACTATGTTTTTTTTATGATACCATGTGACGGGACCATCGGGACGAACAAATCGTGCGTCTGGTGGTAAGCGACACGCCTGTTCATTACAATTGTAGTGCCTCTCAGATCTTTAAATCACAAAGATCTGAGATGCACTGCCACATCGTCACCTTGAGACATAAATTGACAAGTCCCAAGTGCCTCTAATTTCACCAGTGTCCTTGTCCTTCAAAACCGTAACGTAGTAATGTTAGCATTACTGCTTGACGGCAGAAATAGGTAAGGTGGCAATACTTCTTTGGACGAACTCGTTCACATGGAGCTCTACTGCGAACGGACAATGGATCCAGGAGACAAAGCGGGTAGGAGTGCTGCGGTGCGTACCTAAGAAGGCGGCGGTACGTTGCGACACCCCATTGCTCTTATGACAGTCGGCACATTGAAATCATACCGCTGCGATGACACGACGCACCGGCTGCGCCCGTGTGGCATCGCTCTAATAGAAACAATAAGTCATGCGCCTGATGGTAAGCGATACGCCTACCTATTACAGTCGTAGTGCCACTCAAGATTTATTAAATTGCAAAGATCTAAGGAGCACTGTCACTACGCCCGTCTTGTGGCATGCAGTTGACAAGTCCCAAATTCCCTGAGAGTGAATAGGCATTATTTAGGTGTGCATGCCACATCCTCGACCTCATCGTCACTTTCCATCAGGTGAGATGGAGGTCAAATGCGCACTTACTTTTTATAAAAAAAAGGACCTTTAGTTGGAACGAAACGACTGCTAAACTAGGCTAACGCCTATTTAATGTAAATCAGAAAAAACATGGCAGCGGGAAATGAAAGTATTTTATTCGGATTTAAATCGCGTGTATTTGTTTTTTTCAAACAAATCAACGATTCAGGCCCTTACAGTTTTATGATCGCGGCTGATCGAAATGATAAAGTCATCAACCACATCTATTTTTTTATAATTTATTTATTTATATTCAGGTTACAAAAGATCCACATATATAATAATATAATACAGCACTAATGAGTAAGTATTATTCACACGTATTGTCTGCGACGTGAGACGCAATGTGGGCGTCCGGTAACCGGCCTTGGAAAGGTGTCATGTCGAAGGGTGTCATGTACCGACGCATGACACCCTTCGGCCAAAACTCGTACTACACGAATGTCGTCAAATGCTGAGTTAGTACTATCACCACAAATGAATTAAAATTCCCATTGTGGCGGGACCACAAATGAATTATAATTCCCATTGTGGCGGGACCCCAACTGCTGGACCTTCAGGGTAACATTGGCTTTTACCCATATTACTCCACAACATCGGCAGACTTTGTGGAGACATTAAGCCGTGACACGTACAACAAGGGTGTCCGTATCACTGGACGCAGTAAATGATTACGGCCAGTATAATATTCAATAGTGTTCCAATTTAAGTAACATGTAGCTAACCACAGGTTTAAATCGATTTCTGCGTTTTTTTGGACGAGAATTTTCTGCATTTCAGTTAGTTGCTCCAGCAGCACTTCTAGGCATTAAGTCCAGTATCGGGACTACGTGGAACATATTCCCAAGACTGGCTCAAGATATTCTGGATGCTGTAGAAACGAACGACGTTGCCAAAGCCAGAGTTCTACAGGAGAAACTAAGCTTAGCAGTCGAGGCTCATACTGTTGAAGGTAAATTCAAACTCCAAGGAACCTCTATCTGTATAAAAATAGTGATTTGTTGGGCAATTACTAAATAATTTTAGTATAATAGAATAAAAGTTTCTTTTCCTTGATTTTTGTTAATTATGATATTATTTTGTAATAGCATACTTAATGGGATCTGGGTATTATAATTTGTAGGTCGCAATTGAGATATGGTTCTGATGGCCTTTTTCTTATTTCAGGTCCTTGGGTGCCGATAATGAAGGCAGGTATGGAAATAGTAACTGGTATCAAAGTGGGCCCCCCGTCTCTCCCCCAGAGGCCACTGACTGATGAAGCCCGAAAAAGGATTCAGAATAAACTGAAGGCATTGGGACTTTGTAAATAACTTACTTATTTGCATACTTAAATGAAAAAAGATCGTATATATTCCAATACTTTTGTATAAATTACGTACTTAAAATTATACAAGAAAGAAAATTTTGAAATTAAAAATAATATATTTTGTCATTATTTGATTTTTAATTCGGGACTTAATCACATATAAAACATATTTTAATTACCTCGACGTTTCGGACATATTGCGATGTCCATGCTCTCGAAGGGACTGAAGAGGCGAGTGTCAGCATCTTCTAGCCGTGAGAGATTTTCTAGCTATCCGCACTAGATCTTCATTATTTATTTGTGCACTAGGGTTCTCACTAGACCGACACACAACTGGATGTCGTGAGCATCGGGCTTGTCGGGCGATACTTGTCATTTTTATTTATGTTTGGTGGCACTGCAACTGTTATGGACTGGCGTGTATCTTTCCATCAGGCGCACGACTTGTTCGTCACTTACCTAATATAGTTCGAAAAAAAAATGTATTTTGTTTGCGATTGTCTTTTTGTGTGACGACACCAGTGCGACTTTATAATATGATAAGGTGATGGACGGAGGTAATTAAAACGACAAACTCCGCTGAGTGCGTGATGTACACTAAAATTTATTGTAAAGAAAGCATAATGTTTACGACCTAAATTAAGAACAGACACGTACGATTTATTCGTACAGATGGAATTTTGATCTTTTTTTAGAGTTACTAAGTTACTGTAGTATGGAGATTAGCAGCCCTCTAGAGTTATTGATCCATGCTAACATTGATTTTTAGCCACTGAAAAGGAATACAATAAAAAAAACACACTATGGATTTAATTTCAAGCAAATAAGTAATAGTAGGCAAGTACTATCTAAATGGCACCAAAACCTTCTTCTGGTCAAAAGTCAAAAGTCGTCGTTAAAAGATTCTTAAGGTTGTCTTTGATGACGCGCACACGTTTCTCGTCGAGTGCTGCCATCGGTCGGCGAGGCTTACCAACTCTGATGCCTGTCATCATGTACATCGCAGCTTTCATTGATGGTAGGAATTCACCTAGAAGAATAGTTTGACTTAAATATCCACAGCATAACGTATAACTTTTACTACATTCCTAGAGATAAGGAAATTTACAATAAGGGAGCATTCCAATGATAGCGATTGAAACATAGTTAATATCTTGTGTTGCGTTGGGTACAGATTGGCTGTCCATATTTCTTGTTTTTAACACTGTTTTTGTTTAATTGGTTACTTGTATAAGTTTACTAGGAGACCGTATAAATGGTTAATCGCGTAAAGCGAAAGACAACCCAGTGGCATTTAATTCTGTCTTTCCAGCTCACAACAAAAAAAAACTCTGTGAATCGAAATCAGCCGGCTGTAGTAAATGGGTACAGATCGGTTGACATTTCTTGTCTATAACTTCTTCGTTAATTAATTGCTAACTTGTATAAGTTTACTAAGGAGACGGTATAAATGGTGAATCACGTAAAGCGAAAGACAACCCAGTGGTATTTAATTCAGTCTTTCCAGCTTACAACAAAAATGCCTATTGATCGAAATTAGTCGGCTCTAGGTTATTGGATCGAGATCGGTCTGGACAGCCGATCAGTGTCAAATACATTTGTTGTATTTAACACTGTTATTCTTTGATTAATTAGTTACTTGTATAAGTGTTCTAAGAAGACTCTAAAAGGTGTTTATCGCGCCAGATGAAAGACAACCCGGTGGTATTTATATTATGTCATTCCGGTTCACAAACAAAATGACCAATCAACTCTTCTATACTCGCATTTGGATACGTTAGTGCCTTCAGAAGTAGTCACCTTGAGAAGTTATAGCGTCAACAATTCTATTCATCCTCATTTGTTGATCTCTGACACTCGCAACGTCGCCTTTCTTAGACGCGGCCACTATACCCTGAACCAGATCCGGTAACATGTTAGTGACAGTCGCAATGCTGGACTCGTGACCGAGAAGCACTGCCGGGGAAATCATCTGGAAAATATTTTGGGCTATTATATATTTATTGAAACATTTTTGCATTTTAAAATATAATACAAATGGCGGACTTAACGCCATAAGGTATTCTCTATCAGTCGACATTGGGCCAAACAGAAAAAAAAATAGGTTGGTGGTACTTAAACTAGAATCACAAAATACCATAAGCCAAACATTTAAAGTTAATTTATATTGTATAAAATTTATATAATATAACATAAACATATTTAATAGCTACGCATATAATAATTAACATACATGTGTCTTATAATAGTATATATATATTTAGCTGCTTTTCAAGAATAGTGGATCAAACCAAAATAGTTCATAATATAGTGTTATAATACAGCTGCATTCAGAATGTGCTAAAATTTTGTTATAAAAAAGACACCCAACTTTTTATTGATTAAAATAATCAAGTGACCGGTGTACTCGTATTATTCGTCGGCTTTGACGTTGGATATGTATCAGTTATTTCTATAACCCTCGTCCTTATGAATTATGTTGATGTTGAGATAGGCCACTATTTCAGAAAGCCATGGATGTATACCCACAACAACATTAATGCAGAGTACCTATTCATCTTACAGCAAAAAGGTGCTTGCGTAACATGCGCTTGACAGGTAACTTGGTCAGTCAGAGTTTGTCTTACGTGGAGCGGGAGCGCGTTCCAAAAACGGATTGATTGAAGGAAGGGTGAAAGAATTAGACAAAAAACCAGTACGGTGAAAAGAAATGATTAGGATAGATAGATAGTTACGGTTACGGAAAGATCGAAGTTCGCATCTCGGATGCAGTCGGGTCGAGCAAAATGGAGAAAAGAGTGGTTAATATTCTTTAGGATCTGCGTTCACGAATGGGAAACCAATTCAGTTGACGCCAAAGGCAGAGATATGACCATACTCGCAGATCAAAGATGAAACTAATGTCGTTGTTAAGAAGAAATATAATCGTATTGACGTAATAGTTATGGTCAGTAGAAAGAACCATTGTTTATCTATTTGCCTTGAAAACATTAGTATTTTTATAATATGAAGAATAACTTCTGTGGTGAATGTTAAGGGTGAGGTATGTACCTATTATAAAAGATAACGCAACTCGCGATTAACTTCAGTAAACTTACGTGGTTTCCGATGAAAATCTTCTGATCGTCACGCAGTAAGTCGTTAACTTGCATTGCTGCGTCCAGATCTGCCTTCATACCTTTAAAGTTCGGGATTCTGGATGAAGCCAGCGAGAAAAATTCTGGTATGTTCACTGAAAAAAAAATACGTCTAACAATCACAAAAGACATAAGTACGTAAGGCTGCTAACACATTGACAACATATTTGCAGTTAGTGTGTGAAGTCGTTATCAACTTCATGCCGCCGAGACCTCGACTGCATGTAGTTGAAAATGACTTCATGCATTAGCTGCATGAAGTCGATCTAGAAACCGACTTCATGCAGTCAATCTGTTAACAGCCTTAGATACGGTATAAGTACTGCCTCCATTTAAAAAGTTGCCTGCTACATTGAATTATGTCCAACACCTATCGGGGTTTAATAATGCTATCCAGAGTCATTGCGGAGCCAAAGAAGAGCAATGGTACCTATAATATTTTTTATGGTATAATATGAAGAGATTTCGAAGACACGTGTCAGAACACAAGAGAGAAAATTCTTACTCCTAAAAGTGTTTGCTATTACATAAAAGTCATGAAAATAATATGAACACATGAACCAAATTATATATATCCTCCTAAGACCCAGCGAACTACAATGGAAAAAGCGCTAAGCGCTCAGTATAGGTACTTTCAAATTTACTAAACATAAATAAATGCCTAAGAACCAAGCAAACTGTGTCCTAAGTTTTGGACGAAAAACATATTTTTCTCTAATACCCTATGGTCGAATGGAATATATAGTGTTAAATTTGAATGCGATATTTATAATGTACCTACAGTAGGGTTTTTCTTGATCATCGGAATATGTCTGGGTCTGATTCACTTTCTCTCTCTCTCTGAATCTCGGATTTCTTGAGCGAATGTTCGATTCAAGTGGTCTTAGAAGGGTAGCCTTCGGAAGAGTAGTCTTCCGAACAATAACTTCCGACGCTAGAGTTTGTCTCTGGGTTTCGAACTCTCTTTCCGCTGCATATCAATGATATGTGAATACCAGGTACCTTTGCGTGTGCTGATGACAGCACGTTGTAGATAGGCACTGGACCATTGCAAGGGTCAGTGGAAAGGAAATCCAGTCTTGTCGAGAATCCAAGGTTAGCCGTTTGGATTTGACACTCAAGGCAGTCTCCGGTTGGGGCGATGCCAATCATGTCAAATTTAACGCTACCAAAGCACAGGCGTGTCTTTTCTCCACAGAACGGAGTATATTTAAGTTGTCCCTTTGGGTTCCACCCCTACGTTGGGGATATTCCAAAGAACGAAGCGTTACGCTTCACATTTATACGGCGAACGGCTAAGGAGTGGAATTCTCTGCCTGCAGATTTATTCCCTGAACGTTATAACTTGGGCCTTCTTAAGGCGAGAATGAATAGGCATATTTAGGTGTGCAAGCTCCATCGTTGACCTCATCGTCACTTTCCATCAGGTGAGATGGAGGTCAATATTTTATAATAAAAAAAAACTTCATATATACATATATACTTCATATATATACATTTTGTTGTGCGCCTTAGGAGATATGTGAAATCTACCTATTTAGAAATAAAAAGTTATCGATCAATTTAATTCGTAGAATTTTCACATCTCTTTTCTGGAAGGTTGTTATTCTGCAGATGTGACCTTATTTCACCAAGGCTGCGAATGTAAACATAATTTGAATAAAAATGCTTCTACAGTCTCATCGTTCGGCACATTCCTCATATAACGAAAACTTACAAAATGATGGACAAGTAAATGAACTTCGTGGATCCCCTAAATACGCAGTTGGTGTTGAATTACGCTACACTCTACACCACTGGTGTTCCCTTTATTATTTTCAAAGGCTTCCTGTCAAAGACCTAACGTATAGGTATCGGGACTTCTCGGAACTGAAGGCCTACTCTCAAAATATACAACCGCAGCTGCGTACGAAATCAAAACGATCCGTGAGCTGTCCGCAGTCCGTTAGCCACAACGCTTTCGTTTTGGGCTTCGGATCCCATAGACAATAGCGGACCGATAACGCGAATGGTGACTCTCTTCTCGGAACTGATTATGCTTCAATACGCGTATTATTTATTGAAATTTGAGTACATTGGCGACAAATTATGTCTCAAAAAATAATATTATAGCTGTGTTTCTATAGTAACTTAGGTATTTAAACATTTTAGCCATTTAAAAAGTAAACATGAGTCAACCTTAGGAGCACTAGAGCACCTTGTTAAAGAATTCATCCAGGCAAGTACTGCCGCCATACCTATTTTTGATGCCAAACAGTAATTTTAGCATTACTGTGTTCCGGTTTTGAAGGGTAAGGGGTGCTGGTGAAATTACAGGCACATGGGACTTGTCAACTTACGTTTGAGGGTGTCGGGCGCAGTGGCAATGACCCTCATATCTTTGTGTTATGGCACTGCAACTGTTAGGGACAGGCGTGTCGCTTACCACCAGACGCACGTCTTGTTGGTCTCGTCATTTAGTATTATAGAAAAAAAACCTATATCTTGGAATCTTTAGTTTGTTTTCTAAAAGAAAAAAAACAAATGTCACATGCATTGATGACAAAAGGTATATGTCCACATTAAGAAAACGTTCATACTTTAGGTATATTAAGTCCTTCGAAGCGATTCGACAATTATTAAAAGCCACATGTGATCATACGTCAAAAGTGTTTTTGATCACATTAAATTTATAAAAATAATACGAATTATATACATGAAACAAATAATGTATATGTGAAATTTTATAACTTTCCTATTTTAAGCATATAAAAGTTATCGATTAATGTCATTCGTAGAATCTCTATTATGTATCTCTCCTGAAAAGTTATCATTTTGCAGATGTGGTCTTATTATAGAAAGGATGCGAATTTTAAGTTATTGATAACATAAGTATATATGATTAGTGAAATTATTATCATGGCATGTTTGCCGTGAATAGAGTAGATGATTTCCTTCCGAGTCTTTGAGCGATTCGGCTAATAGTATTGTAATGATAGTATAAGATTAGTTAAACGAACACTCCGTTTTAAAAATATAAAATATAATAAAAATTAATTATAATTTTTATTTATTATTTGTAACGCAAATTGAATTTAATTTAATTCTTTCGTTATTTGCTTCAATAATAATAATAATTTTCCGTTAATAATATTCAATTTGAATGTTATGTAATGTAATAAGAAATGTTAAATTTATTAATGGGTGTATGCCTAAATAAAGAAATATTTTTATAATGTTATCTTATATATGATTCTCGAAAACAAGTATTATAACATTCTTATAAAAAAAAACCGACTTCAAAAGTATTCGCTTTGTTAAGTACCGTGGTCTTCTCAACTTTATCTGAAACGCGGAATTTTTTTATATGGAAGTCTTGGTCAAAAAGAACAGGCGAGTTGTGAATCTCCTCCTTTTAAAAGTCGGTTAAAAATCGAAAAAGACAACAACAAAATTGGACAATTCAAAGGCAACTGAAAAATGTCTATTACGTATTGTTGTATGTCATTCATTGTTGTCATATAAATGTAAGGTTACAATATGCGTATAAATTTTCAAATTTTTAGATAAAATCTAATTACTTTATAAACAACGATGTTTCTTTCTATAATCATGACTTACCATTCACTCCACTCATCATAGGAAAGTGGTAATACAGGAGCGGGAGGGAGGGCGCGGCGTGGGACACATCTTCCAGGTAGGATACAAGTGAATCCACATTACGGGGCTTGTAGTAGATCTCTGGTAGAGTCATTATTGCGTCGGCTTTCTTCTCTTCAGTGTATTTTGCCTGTAAATATATTAACGTACATTCATATTTCTAAGTGTAATAAGTCTTGTGTTTCACGAAAAACCTGAATATCCTCAAGCGTGAACAAGTATTCTTCAGGCGAGCGTGTAATTTTCTCGTCCACATCTTCAAATATCATCAGGTGATATTGTGGACAAACGAAAGCCTACTTAAATTTAAAAAAATGTATATATACCGTGATCTCTGTGTATGTATGCCCGGTTCATTTTTCTTAATGGGAAACGTGATTAGACTGAGTCTTGGTTATGTACAGGGCCAAGAGCACGTCAAGCTTGACACTTCGTACTTTGGACTGTTCTTATCGTAAGCGGCATAGAGTTGGTTTTAAATCTTAAGCGTCAAGCTTGACGTGCTTTTGACTCTGTACATATCTAGCTTGCAAAAGTAACGCGCTAAATATTGTATGAAAATTAGTAGTCTCGCCACGGATGCGCCACTGCAGCTCTTCTACAAGCATCTACTTAGAAGACGCTCTAATAAGACAAATAGGGTAACTCCATACAAACGTAGCAGCGCTTTTTGTATGTGATCACACCCGCCTCGTGCGAGTTGTACGGTCGCACACATTCGCATAAACACGCACCATTTATTATATAATTGAAGCGATCGCTCGGTGTTTAAAAAATGACATCTATAAACATATTCATCGTTGTTTATAAGGTGGTTTGAACAACAGTGATTCAAATTCAGGATTCTTCAGAATTTCATTTCTATTTCATAGTCGTACTCCCAAACTGCCGCCATTACTTTTCTCTTGCAGTAACTTCATACCTTATCCACCTAGGAAAAAATAAAAATAGTGACAGACCACCATTTACTGATCGCGGCAGTATACATATTAAATGTTTTAAAAACAAGTTAAGTTTCTTACTCGTATCTAAAGGTTATTACTCAATATAAGAGTTCTTGTCAGATAGAGCGCTATGAACAATAATGGATAAATGTTCTGTCTCCCACCAACCACCTCCTTTTAATATACGTAAATATTTAGCAATTTTTAAGTGATAGTTTATATAGGAAATGTGACTATTTTTCGGGATTATTTGGTTGTATGTTTGTTTTTTCAAACAAACCGACGTTTTGGGCCCTTTACAGGTCCCATGGTCGCGGTTGACTGTGTCAACGCGATATATACGCGATTTAAATCCACAAAAATAGTTTCATTTCCTATTGTAACAATCGCGAAAACCTAAAAACTCGATACTTTATATTTTTATTAGAGTAGTTAATAGAGTTTTTCTTAAAGTATAAAATTGTTAATTAAGTAGATATAGTTAAGTAGGTATATATAAAATGAATTATTAATTCGATTGCAATACCCTAACAAGGTCCATGTTTACATGAGATACCATCCTCTGACTCATGATGCAATAAATAAATAATGTCACGCTTTGCGACGTTGCGTTGTAGGTACTACATATAAATCAGAACGACATGCCACACGGTATGTTGAAACGGCGCGTCACTGCAAACAACTTAACCATACGCAACGCTTGTGTGTCATCGCTCTGAAACTTACCATTTCTATGACTTCAGGAAACGGTACACCGCCAACCTGAGCAATGATCTTAGTATGGGCTGGTTTCGCAGCTTTCATCCACGCGTTCAAGACGCTCTTCCTTTCCTTCAAGCTCAGGGTCACATTCTCGCCTGTAGTCCCACCAACTGTTGAAAGAAAATCCTTGATACCGTAGGTATTTGTTGTACTATCATTTAGCATCAAACAGTAGAAAAAACAAATTTTATATGCATTGATGACAAAATGTGTATGTCCATATTAAGAAAACGTTCGTACTTTAGGTATATTAACTCCTTCAATTCCAGTCACTAGTAATTATACTTGGTAATTATTAAAAGCCACATGTGATCATACGTCAAAAGTATTTTGTATCACATTAAATTTATAAAAATAATAGGAATTATATACATGAAATAAATAATGTATATGTGAAATTTTATAGTAGGATCTTTATTATGTATCTCTCCTGAAATGTTATCATTTTACAGATGTCTTATTACACAAAGGATGCAAATTTTAAGTTATTGATAACTTAAGTATATATGATTCACGAAATTATTATCACGTGGTAATTAATTGTGGAAATTATTATCAAGTGAAGTGACGTGGTATGGTCATCAACCAGTTATCTAATATTCGATTCTAATATTCAGTCAACCGTGACCATGGGACCTGTAAAGGGCCCGAAACGTCGGTTTGAAAAATGTTTCATTTCCTACACAAATTATTGCTTTAATACATACTCAAACTCAATCAGTGGCAGGTTGTGATGAATGAAAACATTTTTTTCAGCGTTGGTTGGTAACAAACGTTTGAGCTTTTTCTCATAAGCAATTCCTGCTTCTGAAAGTAGCCTCTCACTATAAACACTACGGCAAGAAGACGCTAAATAAATCTTAGCAAGTTTTGACAGGCTTGGATACTGCTTTGCGTTTGCTGACCACCACTTGTAAGGATCTGCTGTCTGATCTACGCGAAATAAAAACATCCCACGACCGTTACTTCCGCATGCAGCGCAATGAGACAGGTCGTAACAGGTCGCGCTAAAAATACACAGATCTCACGCCGTCATTCGGCAGCCGAATATTCGGCGCTTCGGCTGAGAGCGTGGCCGAATATTCGGTATACGGCCAAATCATTATTCGTGGCATCTCTAGTACGTATTGAAAAATCCATTCAGTGATTTATTAATACAATTTAAAAAATCATTAATACATTTAAAAAATTGCTTCTTAAAATGGTCTAATCTACTTTTCAAAATGTGCACTTCTTAAAATATTCACTTCTTAATATGTCCACTACTTAAAAATGTAGATTTTTTATAGTGTCCACTTGTGAATAAACTGTTTATAATAGTTTTGTGGTACAATAAATATGTTTACTTAGATAGATGATAAATATGTTCACTTTTTAAAGTGATCACTTCTGGAAATGACCACTATATGAAATGGGGAATAGGTGCACTTTCGTAGTGTTCCTAATGTCTATAGGCTATAACTACATTCCTACTCGTATATTATCTGAATTTTGGTTTGAAAACTATTAAAATAGTACCTAGTTGTAGCCTTACCCAAGATAGCATGAACTCCATGACTGGTCAAGTACTGTAAGTACCCTGGGATGATGTTCAGGTCGACCTCACCATGGTCATCTATTGGGGTGAATACTGGCGCCACCACTCCTTGAATATCGAAGGAAACCTAAACAAGTTAATGAAGATAACGGCGGATATAAGAGAGACCTTAGAATAATAACGCATAGAATGATAGTTTCATATCAAACGAACTGTCACAAGTGAGGCAAAAACCAAATTCATGTAGGGGTAAGCAACTTGTAACTACGCTCGTCGGCACGCACACAAATATACAA